GACAATAAATTTCATATATAAATAAAAAAAATATAAAAAATAAATAAATAAATAAATAAATAAATAAACATTCAAACAAAAGGCACAAGCAATAAAATTTGATGAATTGGATTTCATCAAAATTGAAAACTTTTTCAGTTCAAAAGACACCATGAACAACCTAAAAAGGCAAGCCACAGACTGGGAGAAAATGTGTGTACACCGTATATCTGATAAAAGACTTCTATCTAGAACATGTAAAGGGCACCTTGTAACTCAATAAGTAGACAATCCAGTTTTGTTTTTTTTTTAAGTAAAAAAGCTGTACACAAATGTTCATGGCCATTTTATTTATAAAAGCTAAAAATTAGGAAAAAACCCAGATGTCTGTCAGTGGGTGAATTGTTAAATAAACTGTTGTACATCTGTACTATGAATACTATATGGCAATAAAAAGGAATGAACCATGGATACACCCAGTAATGTAGATGATTCTCAGAAGTATGCTGGGTGAAAAAGGCCAACTCTCAAAGGTTACATACATATAACACAATTTACCTACTATTCGTGAAAGTGCAAAAATTATAGACCATAAACAGTTTAATGGTTGTCAGGGATGGAGGGAGAAATTGTTATAAAAAGGTAACAGGAGGGGCGCCTGGGCGGCTCACCCAGTTAAGCCTCCAACTCTTGATTTTGGCTCACATCATGATTTCACAATTGAGCCCTGCTTCACTTGGGATTCTCTCTCTCCCTCTCTCTTTCTGCCCCTCCCCCAATAGTTCCCTCTCTCTCTCTCTCTCTCTCCCCCTCTCTCAGAATAAATAAATAAAATTTTTTTTTAAAAAAGACAACAGGAGCAATCCTTGTGGTGATGTAACTGTTCTTTATCTTGTCTATAGTGGTAGACATATAAACCTACACCTGTGCTAAATTTGCATAGCACTAAATTCACACACACACAAATGAATACATGTATGACTACGGAACTCTGAGTAAGTTGGGTAGATTCTATCATGTCAGTTTTGTGGTTGTCATAATGTACTAGAGTTATGCAAGATTTTACCATTGAGAAACACTGAATAAAGAGTAAATAGGACGTCCCTGTGTTATTTTCTATAATTATATATGAATCTTGAATCTATGTGTAATTATCTTGAAAAAAAGCTCAAGTTAGTAAATAAGACAAAAGATTTGAATAGACATTTCATCAGAGAAGGTATATAAGTGAAACAAGCACATGAAAGGATGCTCCACATCATTGGTCATTAGGGAAATGCAAAATAAACCTACAATGTGAGATATTTCATACCCAGAAGAATAGCTATAATAAAAAAGAAAATAACAAACGTTGGAAAGAATGTGGAGAAAATGGAACTCTCATACATTGCTGGTGGGAATGTAAACCGATTGATCCACCTTGAAAAACAGTTTGGCAGTTATCTTAAAATCAACAGTCTTACCATATGACCCAGTAATTCCACTCATAGATATCTACCCTTGAGAAATTAAAACATATGTTCACACAAGGACATGTATGTGAATTTTCATAGAAGCATTTTCATAATATCCAAACATTGGAAGCAGCCCAAATATCATCAATTGGTAAATGGGTAAACAAAATGTGATATATCCTTACAATGGCATACTATTTATCAATTAAAAGGAATGAAGTACTCATACAAGACACAACATGGATAAACCTCAAAAATATTATGCTAAGCAAAAGAAATTAAACAAAAGACCCCATATTGTATGATCCACTTTATTTGAAATGTCCAGAAAAGAAATCTATAGAGACAGAAAGTAGATTAATTATTGCCTGGGGCTAGGGGTCGGAGTGGGGAATGACTGAAAATGGGACAGTGATTTCTTTTGGGGGTGACAGAAATGTTCTAAAATTAGTTTGTGATGATAGTTGCACAACTGTAGATTCACGAAAATCACTGAATATGCACACTTAGAAAAGGAAGAAAGGTGTCTTTTAAGTTACAGTCCCTTTCAGCTGTTCTAGATTGTAACCCCCTCAGATGGCTAAACCTGTGACCTCTGGCTTCAGATCCCCATTCAGACAGGGTAATTACACCCATGCCCTGCTTACATCATCAGATGGAAGGTTATATGGCCTGCTTTCTTCTCCACCCACTGCTAGCTTTAGTATTCTTGATGGTTGCTAAAGTATCATTTAAAAAGCATGTTGTTCCTTGTGTTTACTGACAAAACATGTTTTTCTTGGCTTCCCCGATTCCAAATTCTCCGTTTAGAAAAAAAAAATACTTCTGGAATTATATATGCATTTTCAGCACACTGTATATGCAAGAAAGCAGACAAGCAGATTTGACTAAACTTGTGAGTTTCTTGAAGCATAGCACTCCTTTGTTCTTTTGACATCTGACTAAATGTCAGAGACCCGTTTCCATTTTGATAGTGTAATTCCCCCTCCCTCTCCTTCTCTCCATCCCCCACAGCCATCATTTCTTCATTTTTACCATAGTTCCAATATCTCACTTGCACTTATCACAAAGTCCACCCCTTATATTCCTTTCCCTTTCTCCCTTTCAAATATCCCTTCCTAGCCTAATCCTGACTGGTGAAAAGGAAAAAATACCATTTAAGTAGTAATCAGCAAAATACTTCTTTCTAGAAAGTAATTTAGTGGAACTTTATGGATAATACAGTATGTTTGGAAAATTTTTAGTATTTCCTATGGCTTTTTTTGCTGTTGTTTCAATGTTTACTTATTAATTTTTGAGAAAGAGAGAAAAAGAGTACACACACAAGCAGGGGAGGGGCAGAGAGAGAGACACACAGAGTCTGAAGCAGACTCCAGGCTCCAAGTTGTCAGTGCAGAGCCTGACACAAGGTTTGAACCCACGAACTGTGAGATCATGACTTGAGCTAAAGTTGGACACTTAGCCAACTGAGCTACCCAGGCACCCTGGCTTTTTTGCTTTTTGAAAGGGAAGAACTAGTGTGAAATACTGATTTGATCTCAAGTCTAAGGTATTTCATTTCCATAAATGACATATGACATGTTTTTATTAATATCCAAGAAAACAGATATATTTTATCTGTCTTATCAGAAGGCAAAATTATTATAAAATTTTTTAGGCTAGCAGATTAAGTTCTCTATACTATGAAAACTAGATTTTATTGCTTATTGATAGTGTTTCAGCTTATTTTTAAGGTTTCTAAATAAGGTATGGAATACAAAACATTTTCTTCACTTTAGTAACATAAACTTGTTGATAATGATCATGGTTTGATCGGCGCCTCTTACAAACTAATTTCTTTGTCCTTCATACATCCTAAATGCTTTGTTTATATTGCTATACTGCTAACGTAATGCTTATCTTAAAGCGCAGTTATGTCTGTTTCCTCGGTCTCACCATCTGATGGGGATGGAGCTGTGGCATAGCAGTCAGGATTTGTTTTATTAATTAGCAGCTATGTGACTTTGCTGTCTTAATGATCCCTGAATTATGACATGGATTTCTGTGCTGCTGGTAAGTATTAAGTAGTTTGGGACATGGATTGCAAACTCAAAATATGTGATCTCTGCAACATTTTAGCAGTTGTGGAGAAGATAGGAAAAATGTTTGAATGGAAACTTTTGGGCAAAATGTTACCACAGACCTTAACAAATTACTTAAACTTCCTGAGACTCAGTTTTGCCATCTATAAAATGGATATGATAATGCTTACCTCGTAGGAGTGTTTAAGGGTTAACTGAGATATCGTTACGTGAAAGAGTCTAGCTCAGTGTATGGAAGATGGATTATATTAATTAATGTTTCTTTAGGTTGGAATTTTCCCTGCACCTCCTCCATGCCCCTCTCACCTGTAAAACAAACACCCTCCAAACTTCAAACATCTTTCAAGAAACATCCCCAAATGCACCACACTACAAAGCCTTTGCAAACGACTTCAGGCAGGGTAGCCCTTTGTTTAAGAGCACTGAGCTTTTAAAATCAGAAGAGATTCCCAAGTTTAAAACCAGGTCTGCCAAATATTTAGTAACTCCGTGACCTTGGGCACGTTACTTATCCTCCCTGCTGCTAAGTCTCCCACCTGTCAGGCGAGATCATCCTGGTATATAACCTCATGCAGTTGTGAAGTATTAAATGAGATATGCCCAAAGAGTGCTTAGCACAGTCCCAGACACTTAGTAAATCCTCTATTTAAAGTATTACATAGTAGGCATAGAAGTAGTAATAGAAAAATTTCCACTTCAGTGAAGTGTTTATAAAAATGCCTCCCAGGGTTGCAAAATTCTGATGCAAAAGTCTTTTAAACTCTAATGCTGAACAAACGTTAAGGGATTGGTATATACCTTGCGATATTTGAGGCAAAGTTCTAACCTCACGTTATGGAATATGCATTCCCTGTACGGGGTGTGGGGAGGGAAATGATAGCTACTACTAATTAATGGGAAATAAAACCAGAAAATACGTCCCAGGGCACAAGCAACAGAAGCCCAAAGTGCAGTATTAACCACTGCACCCGCAAACCGGGCCTCAACAATTCCCTGGAGTTCACCTCTAACGCCCCCCTTCCTTTGGAGCCGCGCAAGCGTACACAGATTTTGTTCCTTTCCCCCTCATGCCCCCGCCTCCAACCCTCATCGTCTGCCTCAACACGCAGGCGCATCTCTTCAAATCCTGTCCCTTCCCCCGTCCGCTTTCTCTTCATTTCGTTCCCCCTCCTCTTCCAGCACCTCGGTAGGTTCAAACTCTTCTCCGGGAGGGTGGCGGCGATCGAGAGGTCACGTGATGAGCATCCTGCTGCCCAACATGGCGGAGTTCGACACCATCTCGGAACTAGAGGAGGAGGAAGAAGAAGCGGCAACGTCGTCGTCGTCGCCGTCGTCGTCGTCGTCGGTATCGGGGCCTGACGACGACGAGGAAGATGAGGAGGGGGAGGAAGAAGAGGAGGAGGAGGAAGAAGAGGAGGAGGAAGAGGAGGAGACGCCGCCCCCACCTCGGGTAGTGAGTGAGGAGCATCTGCGGAGATATTCCCCCGATCCTGTATTGGTGCGGGGAGCCGGCCACATCACTGTGTAAGCAAGAGGGGGCCATAGGGTTTGAAAACGCTGAGATTTGTCGACAGAGGAATGAGAAGGTGATCGAGGGGCCTGTGGAGTGGGGGAGGGCCGACTGAGGCATACAGTTAGAAAAGGACACCTCGTCTAAATGGAGAAACCGAGGGTGGTAGGTGCAAAGGGAGTGAGGAGAATGCAAATGTGATGCACTGACATCAGGTAAAGAGTATATATAGGACGGGGAAGTTAGAGGTTTGAGAGCCAGAGGGATAGGAGTAAAGGTGAGTCTACTTCTTTCTGTGTTTGCTGGCAAGTAAATAGTCTTTAAACTGCAGGATGTACCAGAGGATTCTTTACTGCTAAGATTGGTGTGTAGTGGAACACAGTGACTGCTGTGAAAAGTGACAAGACCTAGGCTTTCTTCAAAACAGAAACGTGATATGTTTTGTGAATAATATTATAGAATATCCACGTACCCATACATTCATTCATCCATTCTTCCTATCTAATCCGTATATGAATGAATACCATTATCCTTTGGATGTCTTGATAATTCCTCATTCTGACGTTCTGTAAATATCACAGAGGTTCATATTAAGAGGCAGTTGTGAAAGGTAAAAGAGCAATGGATTGAGAGTAGGGACTCTTGGATGTTAGTCCCAGCTTTGCCTCTTACTGGCCCTGTGACCTTGCTCAGATTACTTCCTATTTCTGGGCCTTAATTTCTCCATCTGTAAAATGAAGGGTCGGGGTAGGTGGCTTCCGAAGCCTTTCAGCTCTGAGATAATTTAAGATACCTACAGGAGATTTTGTATGCCCAAATATTAAATATGCAGACATTAAATATTTATGGAAATGAGTCCCCCAGGAGCTGAAGTTGATTTTTTGAAAACTTATGCAGAGTGACTTTTTTAAAAAATTGAAATCTTGGATCATATTTAAGAAAATAAAAGGAGGAGCGATCTCATAGCATTGTGGTTGCAAAGCAAAAGAAAATTTTAATGGCTCTCTGGGCTTTGGAGAGTGCTTTTTCTTTTTTATGTGCTTGGGCTGTAAGTACTTGGAAGTTTGAGTGTGTGTCATGTTCATCCTCTTAATTATGCTGTCTTTTACTGCATTTTCCTATCATTGCCTCTAATTTTGTTAATGGTTCACCTGGTCCCTTTGTCTTTCAATTGAGTTCGTATCATCAGAAATCATATAATATGCAACACCTCCCCCCATCATGTTAGCTTTTAATTTTAACATGTCACTTGTTTTGATTATAATATACTTTTGTGATATTTGCATAAAATATGTTAAGAAAGATTTTGAAATTGTGGAAGGGGAGATTTTTAGACCTGCTTTTTGGTAGGGAATTATTTTAACACAGTTTTTCTTGGTCCAAGAATTTTGCAGATAGCCTACAATGATCAGATGCCAGCTTACTGCACTGTTTTACTTTTATTCCTTTCATTACTAGGGAGACAATTCATTACTCAAACTAATTATAATTCTGGCACCAAACATTACTTTCATGCAGATTATTTCACATGACTGAACAGAAAAAGGGTTTTTATTCCAGTCTATGATTTTATATTTCAACATTCCACCCCCTCCTTATTTTTTAACATTCAGAAAACAGAGGAGGGGCAAGAAAACAGACTTTAAGTTACCAGAACTTATTTGTGGTTCCATCCTATTCTTCACACAATCATGGTGAAGCACTTATCAACCAGCTTTCAATTAAAAGCAAAGCACTGACACTTGCCATATCCAAGCCCTTGTGATGGTGTAATGTCCCTCCCAGCTTAAAAATTCTGGAATTGGGAGTGTGAAGTAGTGGTGCTGGTAGTAACTATTGGTATTAATGGAAGCCAAAACCTGAAAAGCAGCAAACCAGTACTTGAATCACTAACCCATGTATATAGTTTGAAAAAATTGTTCAGTTGTATTCTATAAATTCTCTCAACTAAAAAGCACACTTAATGTTAAATGTCTGGGATTCGAAAAAAATTAAATGTTTAGGAGAAAGTTTTGCTGAATCTGAAGAACTGGCCTTTGTATAGTAGTAAAACTTTCCTTATATCAGGTAAATTAAGATCCTTATGAAATAGTTAATCTAATTCTGAAATGTCTAAAATAACCAGCTTCTGTTAAATTTTTTCTGGCATGAGAGAGTTGTCCTGTCTGAATGACACTATCCCACCCTTTTTTTCCCCCATTTTCTGTGCAGTCGTCTAATCTCTAGAGGACTTTGTTTCTTTTTCAAGGTTCAAATTTGAGAACCATTGCTTCAAACTCAATATATCTTAAGCCATCATTTTCCCTCCCCACATTGGCTGTGCATTCCACTTGCCCCTTTACCACCACTCTAATCTTTTGGGGTAGGTGTTCAAATCCTGGAGTCATTTTAACTCTTCCTTCTCCTTGACTTTTCCAGTGCTACTCTGTCCCAGAATTATGTCATATCTTTTAAAATGTCTATTAGATTTTTCATTTTCTCCATTTCTACCGGTACCACTCTAGTTTAGGTTGCCATCATCTCCACAGTCTGCCACCTCTCTTCAATTCATCCTGCATGCTTGTGCCAAACTAATTTTCTTAAAACACAGTTTGATCATGTCACTTTCCTGCTGAAAAACCTGCACTAGGTCTTAATTAGGTCTGAATTCTTATGCTCTCTTCTTCCAGCCTCAGAGGTCAAGGAGTTCCTTCACTTGTCCAAAGCTCACCACTCCACTTGTACCTTCTATACCCTTCTCTTCCAGCCTCCTCCCAAATATTGCTCCATCAGGTAGCCCCATCTCTCTAATATTACCTCTCTCTGCATCAGCCTATAGACATATTCGGAGTCTCTCTCATTCTTTAAAAACAAAATAAAACAAAGCCGTCCTAGACCTATGTTCCCTTTTAGCTACTGTCTTGTCTTTCTTCCTTCCCTCTCCAAATTTCTTAGGAATAGCCACATTCACTATATCTATTTACTTTTCACCCCTCTCTAACTGGATTTTGCCATCATGACCACAGATGGGGGTAACTATCCTTGTTAAGATCACCACCATGACCCTCTGTTGCTACATTAGTGGGTTTTTCTCATTCCTTGTCTTTCTGGTCCTCTCTGCTATATATATGACACTTAAAATGACTCCCTCTTTTTTGGAGGCTTCTATTCCAGGGGCCACAAACACACAAGCCTTCAGAGGTAAGACAGGACACAGAAAATGGTGCAGCATGAGTAATAATGGGGCTTTAGTTGAACTGGAAGATGGTATGTGTTTTGCCTAAAGGTATTCAAATTCTGATTTTGTAAAAACATTTTGCCAGACAAACCTAGGAATTTCTTGGCCACTTGACTCTCCTGGGCTCACTGTATTTTTCTTGCTATCCTTTAACTCTCATTCACGGGCTTCTCTTATTCTGTTGGCCCTTGAATACCAGTGGTCTCTGAGGTTTTGTTTTCTCCTTACTATTCTTCTCATTCCTTACTGTGCTTAGATGATCTCATCTTGATTCTCATGGTTTCAATTATCTGACATCTCCCTAATATGTATCTCTGTGCCAGACTTTGCTCAGACTTTCACCTGGGCTTTCTCACCTGACAGCCCATCATCATCCTAAGTTCAACATATTCATAACAGAACTCATCCCCCCCCCCGACGCCTCCTTATACCTCCATCCCAAACCTTTAAAAAAATCCCTTCTATATCTGTTTTTTCCATCTCAGTTAAATGTACCTCCACCTATCCCGTTATTTATCCTTGGTTCCTCTTCCTCACTTACACTTATCAGCAAGTAAGATAATATTTGACCTAAAATTTTTTTCTTTTCCTCCCTACTGACACTTCCCTGATTCGGGCCCCTTTCACCACCCTAACTAATCAACTTGCCTTCATTGTCATCACTTCACATCCATTCCACAGCCTGCTGCTAGATTAAGATACCACTTTACTGCTTAAAACTGTTCTGTGGTTTTCCCCTTACCTGCTGGATAGAATCCAAGCTCCATAACATGGCATATAGAACTGGACCTTGCCTATCTGTCAGCCTAATCTTCTGATATTTCCTCAATGGCTTGTATTTTCCTCTTTTTAGCATGCTATTTTTTTAAAATATTTATTTTGAGAGAGAGAGAGAGAGAGAAAGAGAGAGAGAGAGCAAGGGAGGGGCAGAAAGAAAGGGAGAGAGAGAATCCTAAGCAGGCTCCACACTGTTCACACGAAGCTCACCGCATGTCTCAATCTCACCAACCGCGAGATCACAACCCGAGCTGAAATCAAGAATCGGACTCTTAACTGACTGACTGAGCCATCCAGGCGACCCTGTAGCATGCTGTGTCTTATCTCGTTGCCTCTACTCAATCTAGGACCTCCATCTAGAATTCCAGTACCCACCACCCTTACCTCAGCTCTCCATATGTCACCACCTCCTGCAAGTCTTCCCTGCCCCCACTAAATTGTAAGCTGCAATAGCAGGAACAAGTTTTAGTTCCCTCTGAATCTTCATTGCTTAGCACAATGCTTGCCCTGAAGTAGGCAATCAATAAAAGTGAGTTGAAGGAATATTGGTTTGCTTTAGTAACACTCAATATGCCTGTCATAATGCATGCTGTATTATAGGTCCTCAACAAATACTGGTTACTTGACTCACACTGTAGAGAGTACTTGTGATTCTGAGCAAAGATACATATGGCTACAGTAATGTCACCAGTCCCAGTGATGGGTGTTATGGCATGGCCTTACCTCTGAAATCTTTGTTATGATGTCAGAATACCCCTGTCTACTTGTATCATCTTAACGTATTGGCTTTCTTATTACTTTAACAAGATACTAATCTTTTAACATGGAATTATAATTTCTTAAGAAATAGAATGAGCTAACCACACTAATTGTAATTCCAATTCTCAGAGGATGATGATGATGAATGGATATTTGGGGATTTTTTTCCCAACTAAAAAATTATATAACAAAATTAACTGCACAGATTTGAGTTTATAGAAACAGACATAATGAAATGTCTCTTAGAAATATTAAGCGTTT